AAAAAAAAAAAAAAAAAAAAACTCGACCCGGTTTTGGGCCCAACCGGAATTCCGGTCCGGGCCGGTCCAACCAACCGGCCCGGCTGGGACCGGTTCGGTCCAACAGGCCGGTGGCCGGTGCAGCCCTGGGTAGGAAGCTATGTCTGGGTCAAGATGTCTGAATTTTCAGAAGAAGAGGGAGTCTCTCGCAAACTTATCCCACTGGATGTGATTGGCGAAGACTACTTTGGCCCTTCGTATGTAGTTCATGTGCCAGCCCATCTGCGCACATACCCCGTGTTCCATGCATCAAAACTGTACCTCCACCGTGACGCTGAGACGTTCGATTATCGCGAAGACATGATCTCTCGTGCAATCAAAGGCGGGCATGAGATGGACAGAATTAAACAACACATAGGGAAGGGACGCAACAGACAGTACCAGGTTCACTTCATGTATCACCCGATGGACGATCTGTACTGGATTTCCAAGCAGGAACTGCTATGCAGTGCACCACGCGTTGTCAAAGCCTACGAGCGACAAATTGCAGCTGACGCTACTCCTAAGATCTCCTCAAGGCTTACTGCGACAGAGTATTCTAGGAACCTCCTTGCCTTGCTTGGTTACGATGCGTTTGTCGAGGACTCAGAATGAGTTACTCGCTCGAAGGGACCTCGCCCTTGAAGGGGGGGGGGGGGKGATGACCCGTCCAAACATGGACTGAAACACAGGACTGATTTCTGAGTTTTGCCCATAGACTGAATGCCTTGCTGAGTTTCCCGCCTGCTACTAAGTCTGTGTGTGCACGCTTGCTGGACTGCATGTCTGTCTGAGTGCTGGTTGGCTTGAGTGTGTGTGTGGCCGTGCCTGTCTGAGTGCTGGTTGGCTTGAGTGTGTTTGTGGCCGTGCCTGTCTGAGTGCTAGTTGGCTTGAGTGTGTGTGTGGCCCGTAAGGGCACTTGTTTGTTCATTGGGCTCTCAGGGCCGGTACTTACCTGTGGCCGTGACATTGAGGGATTGCAGCAGGAAAAACACTCAAGTAGCGGGTAGGACGGTACCGCACGGGTACTGGTGGCCGAGCAGAAGAAGACAAAAGTGGCACTTTTAGAGGCCCAGTAGTTGTAGGTTACGTCTAGGCGGATACCAGTCCAACCAGTCTGGGTCGAGGGCCTGTACGGGCAATATCAGAGTCTGCAATGATGTTTCCCTCCGAAGGGAGGAGGTACCGGTTGCTTGGAAGGCCAAGCGGCCTGGAAGTCACCGCCCGAAGAGGCAAGCAGGCCGCTATATCTCCCAGCCGGGGGAAGAGCCCGGTCTCTTTCTCGGTGTGCAAGTTTGGCGACACACTGGTTGGAGCGCCAATTGGAGCAGCGCTATCCAGGAGCAGCGCTGCTGGGGGAAGGAGAAGGAAGCGGAGGAGGAAGAAGGACAGGAAGGGGGAGGAGCACCAGGGGTAGCTATGGTGGCAGCCATCTTCATCACCTTGGTGGGCGCTGCAGCAGGGAGTCCCCAACTGGGCAGAGCCACACCAAGACGCTTCAAGGCAGAGTTGGGCATGGCGGCCTGAGTGAAGCAGCCATAGCTGCTTTGGGTTGTCCTTTGGGCATCTGGGCAAGGCCTAGTAGTCCGCCATAGCCTCTGCTTATGATGAGGAAGGGAGGAGGAGGCGGCCATGTCTATGGTGGACCTCAAGTGGTGCCGGCAGTAGAAGAGGAACTCGGACATTGATTCTGGATCAGCCATTCAACATTGCATTATTATTTCTTGTATGAATAAGAGAAGGGGGAGATAAGGAGGAGGAGATTGTTGAGCGAAGAAGAAGAGCCTTGTCATTTGTCTATGCTGGTGTACATCATCTTCTTCTTCTTTCTTACTTCTTCCTCTTCTTCTAATCCTCTCTCCTCTCAAGTTCATTCATTTCTTTCTGCAATTGGGCGGCATTGTACTATCTGATGGATGTGTATCTCAAAATTGGCGAGGATCATAACACAGAGAGAGAGAGAGAGAGAGAGAGAGAGAGAGAGAGAGAGAGAGAGAGAGAGAGAGAGTACATACCTGAACCGAGGCTGAGTCTGTGTGGGCGGTAGAGACCACAAGACACGTGAACACTTTCTTTGAAAAATAAAGATCTTTTGCTTATCAATCTCTCGTGAGATTCTTGTGTCTCGTCTATCGGCTCCAAGTGTGAATATTCATCTGGATGCTCATTGCATGTGTGTGCGGGGTGGAGGATGTTTGACCTGCGATTCATTGCAATGTACTCTACATGGTGCAGAACACACCACAAAAAAAAAAAAAAAAGTAGTGTCCGGTCCCGGCCGTACGTGTGTCCGGTTCCGGGACATGAGCTGTCCGGGTCTGGGTCTTGCGTGCCCATGGTATTATCCCTCAATGGCAATAAATCAAGTGCCTGTATGATGGCTGAATGGTGGACACAGGATGCGTGGGTGCCCGAAGGCCGTTTCCCGGAGGGTCGCCACTGCTTAGGAGATTGAATGGAGAACCTGTTGGATGGTGAAAAAGACACAGCCAGTTCTAGCTTTTTCCAGATATCTTCAATTCTTTTATCTGGCATCAGACGGGAAGCGTCTGCAGTGTTTCATCTCTATCCCTCCCATCAAAGGCCGAGGAAATAATCTTGGGAATATTCTGTTATGTTTCGTGTGTGTTTTCAGATTTACAATGAGAGCATCACCGACCTTCTAGATCCCACTCTAACAAATTTGCAGGTAAGTGATTTGTCCTAACTGCAACAAGCTGCTTACCCATCGAATGATTCGACACTTACTGTCCGCTCCTCTCCATTTTTTTTGACGTTTTAGTATGTTAGCAACTTAGCATGGAATGATATGGTGATGTTCCTTCCTGCTTTTTGCTTTCCTGTGTTTTCTCTCCTGCCTGTTGGTATGGTGTGTAGGAAGTATTAGGAACGCATTTTACATTACTGGGTTTCAGATAGAGTGGAAAGAAATATGTGCAGCAGTCTTGGCTTGGTTATGTGTATAGAGTTACCAAGAGAAGTGGGATTGTCACCAGTCTCACCTCAGGATAAACACGGTCAGTTGAATATAGCTGAAGAGCATTGTGGTTTAAATGAACTCCAATGTCGAAGTAATCAAACGATTGAAAGGTTATGAACTGTGGGTGATGCCATGCAATGAATTTATCTGGATTTGAGCACTGAGTGGGGATTGCAACTATCTGGCTATGATAGGTTGTATTGATGCTCATTGGAACAGTTGTGTAAAATGAAAGGGCTACCTTCCGTTCAAAATCATTCAAAGGTCGTATGCTGTGGGTGATGAAAGGTCGTATGGTGTGGGTGATGCCGTGCAATGAATTTATCTGGATCTGAGCACTGAGTGGGGATTGCAACAGTCTGGGTATGATAGATAGTATCGGTGTTCTTCCACTTGTTTGGAGCACTTGTGTAAGTGAAAGGGCGGAGAAAAGGAAAAATATGGAATGAGGTAAAAAACAATTTGTTGCAGAAAATCCTTGTAGTCTATGAGGTTCTGATGACAGGTTATCGGGGATTTTTTTTTGAGGAAATCCTTGCAATATTTTGATGTTCTGACAGTACATATTTTTGGACTGAGAGGATATTTTGTCACGCAGTCTTGAGGAGGTATTCAAATTGTCATTGTTGAATCCAAATGGTCTATCGGGTACCTTAGTGGCAAAATAGGACAAGGGAAGGTTATTGGGGCGATTTTGCAGATATCCTTGTCATTTTTTAGGAAGTGTTCTAACAGTTTCATGTTTTCACACTAAGACAAATATGTTGCACTGTATTTTTAGGAAGTGTGGTCTAACTGGTTTTCATAGATCTAGCATGTCATCATAGGGGATTGAAAAGGATACTTGGGATTGCTTTTTCAGTCTGCCTTTTTATAAGGGAATAGTAACAGTAGGGAAGGGCATTGACTCAAAGTTTGACCTTGGCAACAGAAAAAAGGAAAAAAGAAAGAAGAAGATGATGGCACACCTTCTCTTTTGTGTTCCGTTTGGCGTTTCTTCCTCTTCTGCTTGTATTGGGAAAAAAGGAAAAAAGAAAAAGGAGATGATGCTGCACCTTCTCTTTTCTGTTCTGTTCGGCCTTTCTTCCTTTTCTGCTTGTACTGGGATAATGATGAGGTGCTGGGGAAGACAGATGAGGAAGGCGCAATCCATTGTCCAGAAAATACTGACAGGCCCATCACTCACTAGTTGTGTATCAAACTCAGTTTCACCAAAACCTGGTTCTTCTTCTCCTCGTTGATTTTGTCCTCCTCGTCCTCTGGGTTCTCTTTGCACTGAAGTCGTTAAACATCTGGGTAGTGACTTTTCAGTCATCATTGTGAACATGTTATGGATCTGCGTGTCAAGATTCGAGAAGACACTAAGAGAGGGATGTACGTGGAGAGCTTGTCAGAGAAGCCTGTTGAAGGTGTAGATGACGTCCTCAAGATCATTGTTGAGGTAAGCATAATTTCTCTGGATATTCTGTATGACCAACATTATGCGCTCTTTGTTATGGACAAAAGGAGGGAATGCATATCCGGTTGTTTAAGGAGTGGCGGGGTGGGCACGAGTTCACATGCCCTTCTGTTGTGTTTTGGAAAGAACAAGACCATGAAGGCAAAGACGATGACGATGATGATGGTGACGGCAATGACAACGATGGCAAACACGAAGAAGAAGAAGAAGAAGCGGATGACGGTGACAATAATGACAATGATGTTGTTGAAGAAGCCAAAGAAGGAAAGCAAACTTGCAGGGAAGGATGAGGAGGCAGAGCATCAGGAGGAAGAAGAGGGGAGAAGAAGGGGAGAGGCAGAAGAATGTGAGATAATGTTGAAATGGGGAAAGACCAGGAGGATGAAGATTTGGTCTCTTATGAGAGACCACCTGATGGTGTACAGGAGGCTATTCAGAAATTATGCTGCACACCCAGCAAGTGGGAAATTCGCATATTTTGTTCTTTGATGCATCTGCATGGAATATGGGGGAGAGTGATAGACAGAAAACCAAGTTGCAAAATCATGCAGAAGTCCAGATAGTCATGTACCAAGCAGAGAGCATAAATGCACGAAGATTCCATCCACATAAGTGCGATACAATGAACTCGTGAGCCAATGTCCAAGCCCTCAGGCACACCAACGCACTATCCAATGTCGCTCCTACTGTATGGCGCCCAGCCCCCAGCCTACTCTTCTCAGCCTATCTATCCTATTTACATTCGTGCAACAGGATCACTTCGCCGTCGAAGACCATGTACATGACGTCAACACGAATGCCAACCTCTCACATACACCAGGTACGTTCTCTCCTCTCGTCTCATCAGACCTTGTCCACACACTCATGCGCCTCCTTCCCTGAAAACCACCGTCGCCCATCCACCTGCCCGCGCCCCTGCAGCCTGGCTATGGCCGCTAAGCGCCTGCTGCCCTGCAGCGCCCCTCTTCACTTCATAGTGCCCGCATGCGCCCCAGCCAGCAGCGCTAATGCAGACGCTTGCGCAGCGACGCAGCAGCATGTCCAGATTGCCTGCTTATGCCCCAATGCCCTCCTCTGGCCGGCCTCCTCCCTATATGAGAGAAGCTGCCCTGCTGGGCTGTCGGGGTGTTACATGCTGCGTCTGCACACGGGCCCCATTTGAGAGGGCCAGCGGTTGCTGAGGCCCCCCCGGGCCGCATGCCCATCGGACACACGCCCTGGAGGCCCATGGCGGCCTTCCAGGCCACAGGTTCAATTTGAGCCAGCACTCGTTTATTTGTTTATTCATTTATGTATGTGCTGTCCTATTTTTGTCTGTTCAGACGTCATTTCGGACTTGCAGTCCCTACGGCACGGCCTTGGCCCGACGGTTGCTGAGGCCCCCCCCGGCCACGTGCCCATCGGACACGGGCCCTGGAGGCCCACAGCAGCCTTCCAGGCCACAGGTACAATTTGAGGCAGCACTCGTTTATTTATCTATGCGCTGTCCTATTTTGTCTGTTCAGATGTTGTTTCCGACTTGCAGTGCCCAAGGCACGGCCTTGGGCTGAGGCAGGGCCCAAAAGGCCGAGGCGCATGTCTTGCTGCATCAGCAGCACGGTCTGGGCACCCGGTAGGGGCCCCGACCGTGCAGGCCGTTGTAGGCCACACAGCAGCTCACCCAGTAGGGGCCAGCGCGGTATATAGCTGGGCCACAACTTGGGCAGAAACACAGTTTGGTAGCTCACTTCTCGAGCGACACGCTGTTGGTTAGGTGCTGTGCTGCAAGGTTGGGAGTAGAGGCGTAGGAGGCAGAGGGGCGGAGGCCATACCTACCTGCACCGGCGGACTTACCTGGCGCCATAGCTGGGACTCCGCGCGGTACCTGCACAGGACGACCACAACACGGCAGTCAGTGCACGGCAGCAGTCACCTGCAGGTGAGATAGCGAGGAGGACGGCATCTTCTTCTTCCTCGCCCGCCATCTTATCTCCCTCTCTCCTTCTTCCTCCTTCATCCTTCCCCCTCCTCCCTCTTCTTCTTCTTTTTCTTCTTCTTCTTCTTCTTCTTCTTCTTCTTCTTCTTCTTCTTCTTCTGCTTCTTCTTCTTCTTCAGATAGCGAGAGAGAGAGAGGCTACAGGCAGAGGATACAGGCAGAGGTTACGGTGGGCATAGCGCCCAGGATCTGATCCGACATTTTTGAGGCAGACGCTGATTGGACATTCGGCAAGGGACTATTTTTGGACTTCGCTATCGCGATCTTGGTCTTCTCCCTCGCCTCCATCTTCGTGTCGCCTCTCCCCCCATCTCTCATCCGTGGTATCTCCCCCATGTGTGTGTTCATACCTTTCGTCTATGTGTGCAGTCCCTCCTCCTCTCACATGTGTGGTGTATGATGGGATGTCCCGTCAGTCCCGGTCAGGTCAGGACTTATCTTTGAGTCTTCCACTGCGCTGCTTTGTGCCATTTATGTATGTATCAGGATGTACATTGCTCGTTGATGTTTCACTGACATTGCATTGTCCATTCAGTCCTTTTCGTCACATTGGGGATCCTTGGCTCCATATACATTGCCCAACCGGGCAATGTATCAGTGGTATCGGAGCCCCACACGTAAATCAGGACCAACCCGATCTGACATTGGTTGATTGGTCATTGATTGACTGACTGAGCTGCTATGTGTACAGAAACCATCGATTGATTGATTGATTGATTGATTGATTGATTGGTCACTTTGAGTCTTCCACTGCGCTGCTATGTGTACGGAAACCATCGATTGATTGATTGATTGGTTGATTGATTGATTGATTGATTGATTGATTCATTCATTCATTGGTTGATGGATAGATGGATTGATTGATTGATTGATTGATTGATTGATTGATCATTGGTTGATTGGTCATTGATTGACTGACTGATTGACTGATTGATTGATTGATTGATTGATTTATTGATTGATTGATTGATTGATTAGGTCACACTAATTAGTCCCCAAAATTGCGAATTTTGACGTAACTGCGAGAAATCTAAAAAAAAATTCCTTCGGATTTCTTCTTTCGCGCTAACTTCGTTTGATGAAAATTGCAAATTCTGAAATAGCGCAGCATCTAAAATTTCCGATCCTTGTGTTTTTTTTGGAAATTTGAAGTTTTGGTGTAAATAAATCTGAATTAAATTTTATCTCTCGGCAGGGTGGCCGGCGTCCAGGACGGGCCAAACGCCCGAACGTACAGAAAGTTTGTGGGGGGGATGGGGATAACTGCACGGGACATGGCACAATCTTTTTTCTTTTTCGTCGCCGTCTTTCCTTTGCGTGCATGTGTGTGTGTGTGTGTGTGTGTGTGTGTGTGTGTGTGTGGCATGTGTGGCATGTGTGTGTGTGTGTGTGTGTGTGTGTGTGTGTGTGTGTGTGTGTG